CCGGAACTCTTCCATTAGTTTCCTGGGTAATCCTCCTACGCAAGGACCCTGTCTTCTTGTCTTGTGAACGGTGGATGCGTGTGTACTGAGTAATGTGATCCATTTTTTCCTGTGCATGTTTCATTTTCGCACCTTCCACAGTGAATGCATGTATGGAATGTGTGACTCTTTTGTTGATTAGACGATTGTCGTCGGGATTTTGTTCGAGAATGCAAGAGTGTTTAGATTTGTAGCTATGTTTGCACTGCGCATGCCATCTGCCTTATGTTGCACGACATCAGCAGCCGAGCCACGAGGCGGCCCTGAGAAACAAGGCGCCAGGGACCAACGTTGTGTTGAACGGATCGGACCCGTAGCCATATGCGTGATCAAGCTGATCTGTATTTGCTCTCTCTCTCTTGTGTCAAAAAGATTGATTGGGGGACGCGTGAATCGCTTTTGTTCTTAATGACGTCTCAGGATATTTTGTGATTGATTGACATGTGGACTGACAAGTACCCTTCGATTGGGCGCCAGCCTCCCGTATCTCCCATCCCAACGCGACCTTTTCCTTACAGTGAGGAATGGACACGTGTATGTGAGTGGGACGTACGAGAAGCCGTTGCACAAATCGGTGGGCAGTATTACTTCCCTCCGGCCAACCGCTGTTCTGGGTTCGTAGAAGCCGGGTTTGTTATTATCGATACGCACTTCCCACCTTACTCGGTATTGTTGCCATTTAACGAGTTGATCGTCATTCCGTGGACGGTAGTAGAACCCCACTGGCCGCGCACTCTGTGCACTGAATGTCAGCGCTTTGAGCGCTACGAGTCCAGGGGTTTCCTCTACCGTGTGCGGAGTGAAGACGAGCATAAAGAAAGAGCCACGCGACTGAGGCCCTGCATGTCAGACTCGGAACTAACCAGCGAACAACGACAAGACTTGATACGAAAACGGGACACATGAAGCGTGCCCAACCCTTTCTGTTCTAAACGATGGGCTGTAGCCCGGTGGGAGGCACGACAATACTTTTTGGATTGAATTTGGATCTTTCCCTCTCTTCCCGCCTTGCCCGCGCGTGCATTCTGCGACGCGCGAAAACGATCGACTTGCTTCATCGGACCAACACAGGGGATTTCAATTCCGTCTGTGTCCCCACACTCCATTTCCAAAAATCCTTGGCACACCCCATCTTGCTGTTTTTTTGGGCCTCTTTTCCGCACAGCTAACACTCCGAACGGAAGACAACACAGGGCGTGAGGTTGCACGTCACAAGGTGCCTTTGGGTGCAGTTCCTACTGACATCCGGATATCTCTTGAGTAAGTTTGATTTGTTTAAGTCGCTTCTGGTGGTCTTGAGGTTGCTTCAGGGTTCTGGGGGTTTCTTGCTACTCACTGTGGGCTTCTCTGGTGCGGTTATATTCATAGATCTGTGGTGGTTTGATGCCAGAACGTCGCTGGCTGGTGTTGGATGTAGATGGTGGGATATCAGCGCCCTGCTAGTGAGGTGGCTAGCTGGTAGGATGGAAATAGGGTACAGCAGCAGCGGAGATGGTGGCTCTGCTGCAGTAAGTCTTGCCGAGTGAGGTAAAGAGGGTAGATGGGGGTTTCTGGGACGTTGTCTGAAGTTTTGCTTACGTGAGTGGGAGAAGTAGATGGTGGGATAACAAGCGTCCTACTAGTGAGGGGGCTAACTGGTAGGATGGCAATAGGGTACAGCAGCAGCGGAGATGGTGGCTCTGCTGCAGTAAGTCTTGTCGGAGTGAGGTAAAGAGGATGGATGGGGTTTTCTGAGGCTTTTCCTGAATTCTTGCCTATTTTCTGAGTTTTGCCATAATAATTTCTTAATCTGGCTCCAATTTTTCTTTGCCAAAGCCGGGTAATGGCCCCGGGATCCCAAACCTTCAAAATTGGTTTTCAGTTGCTTCTGGTGGCCTCGAGATGCTGTTATATTCATAGATCTGTGGTCAGAACGACGCTGGTTGGTGTTGGAAGTAGATGGCAGGATATGAAGCGTCCTATCAGTGAGGAGGCTAGCTGGTAGGATGGAAATAGGGTATTGCAGCAGCAGAGATGGTGGCTCTGCTGCAGTAAGTCTTGCCAG